TTCGACGTCCTGACACCTAGCTTCACCACATCTCCAACACATCTCTTGAACCTTCCAAGTTGGAAGGCTGTCGGTTAGCGCTACCAAGAGTAGATAAACAAGAGTGTGCAACTCCAGCTATGGGGTCTGCGACGGCAGAACTTCACATCACGTGATGAACCCGTGCACTCTAGTGCATGATAGATACTGGGTTGTACGCAGCCCAGCTTTGGGTACAACTCTCTTGTGGTCACTTTGCACTGTTTGCCAGCATAACCTTTTGAACCATGTCACGTGATGTGAAGTTCTGCCGTCGCAGCACAGCATAGAGGTTGTGCAGGCAGTTGCACACTCTTGGGTTATGTACTCTTGGCGCTACGGAGATGTGTTGAAGCTAGGCGTCAGGACGTCGAATGTCTCAGTACTCTTGTCAGTTGTGTGCCTAGTTATTGCACTTTCTGACTGTATATAGTATCCAGTTACAGTGATGGAGAGTTACTCTTAACTCGTATCCATATGTCCTTTTCCTTTCTACATTTATTTATGGCTCAACATCCGAGTTTCAAATTGAAAAAATTAAAAACTTTTTATAATTTTGATAGTTGAACAAATGGCGAGGAGACAACAATTTGATAACCGCAATCAGTAATACAAGCTGGATCGACATTTGTGTACACTGTATTCATGTATTGTAAAACTTGTTTGAATCCCTTTCTTTCTCTACACAATTTCTTCACATTTTTCATCGTTTTATTGCACATTGTCTCCACAGTTTTACAATACATGAATACAGTGTACACAAATGTCGATCCAGCTTGTATTACTGATTGCGGTTATCAAATTTTGATAGTGTTATGAGTTATTTCAATGGGCAGCCAAGTTCAGCGGCTGCAAGAACTGCGGGGAACGCTGGTGTCCGCAGTGTCAACATATCGGCGACCTCTATAGCCTCGCAGAGCCACCACGGAAGCTCGGACCAGAGCAAAGGATAACCGGCATCTGATGACGGCCAGTGTGGTGCCGAAATCTTCTCCCGTTTTCTCTGATCGGAGGCAGGCAATCCGGCTGAACAAATTCTGGGCAGGCTTTCCATGACCTCCTGATGCTGCCAGCACTACTGGAACGAAAGAACTATGCTCAACATGCAGTATGCGCTGCTCATACTTTCTTCGCTTTTCCTTCTCATGATGGAGGTAGGAGGCTAAAAATGGTGAACTGTGAACTGTGTGCACGAGTACCCAAGCTATCACGGTGGAGAAGGGCTTCTCCCACTTCGCTGCTAAACGGCTGGCGAGACGCCTCTGGTACGCACTGTACTCGCGGTGGAGGACAGCATCAGTGGAACACACCAACGGAGTAAAGGAGCCTCATAGTTCTTCAGCGGCATGCGTGTACTTGTGGTTCTTTGCTGCAGCTGCTTTGTTTGAGGGTGGCATTCCAGGACAGGCTGGCCTTGGCGTAGCTGGGTGCGTCAGCATCTACGATGCGATTATCGAAGAACGCCACCCAGTTTCCCTCCCAAACTCCGCGAGCGAGTCAGTCCGCTTGGAGCATGGTCCGACCATTCCTATCCTGTTCAGGGATGAGCAGCGGCTCGATGGTAACCCCGCCGAAGGCAATGTCCGCAAGCTTGGCATCACTGTCGCGGAGGTCGTTGTGGCCTCTCTTGACTGGGCTGCCCTTAGTGCAGTCAAGGCCGTTGTAATTTCGCCAACACTCCAAAACACTCCAAAGCTGTGCTTAGTATATGACGATAGTGTGAATTTGATAATGATACAAGAAAGACGAAGCAAACTCTATGAGCACCGAAGAAAAACTCTACCATGAACAAGAAAGCCACCAAGACAAGGCTACTTCTTGCCCAGAGGAACAGTCCCGAAAAGGTGCTAGGAAACCAGAAAAGGATACAAGAAAAGAAACAAGTGCAAAATTCCGTACTGCGCCGCACGGTGCGTGAGAACCCCGCGCGGGATCAGCGGAAACTTCGCGGAGAGATTTAGGACACGCATTGCCAAAAGGAGAAGTGTGAAGAGGTCAAAAGTACAAGTGCGATTCCAGTGCAAAACAGCAGATCACAGAAAACTATCGCAGGCAAGTCAAACTACACGTATGTATGCGTACCACTACCGGATCCACGGATCTAGCGCTAGCAACAATCGCTCGTGATCACATGATCAATGACATAATTCAAATATGGCGCTGCTGCGACTGCACACTTCGGCAGCTGGCACATGGCAAGAAAGAAACGAAAATAATTCAAAAACAGTTCGAACACAACGAAGGAAGAAGTTTGAGAGAACAATAAATTTATCAAGTATAACAATGTAGTATGTGCCAGGGGGTGCTTACACCTAGCGCTGGGTGACAGTAAGCGCTGACAGACAGAAGAGAAAGAACTAACAGAGGAAGAGAAATACTACAGCGCTGCAGAACGACGATCAAACGGCAAATTCAGTAAGTCTGTCTGAGCACGCAGCGCGGACAGCCGTGCTGGATGGGGAACGGGGCGCCATATCCGCCACATGGAGACGGAAGGGAGTTGGGCTGCATGCCGTAGCGGACCGCCAGCTGATCGCGAAACTGGGTCGCAGACATGTCGTAGCCTTCCTGACGCAGCGGTAGGACAGTCAGCCAACCGGAAGCATTTCCATCAACAATGCGAGAGATAGTGCATCGTTCCATTTTGGGGAGGTCTTGAAGAAGCTCTTTGCTAAGCGTCCCTTCTGGCTCATCCCTGAACCAGCTTGCCTGACCCGTCACCAGATGGAGCGTGTCACAGTCCAAGACATCACGTGAGAGTATTGATCCCCTTTCTTGGCTGCCAACAGAGAGGCCACTCGCTTGTAGAGGGCTTTTGCTGCCTTGCCCATGCCTCCGCTTGCAGACATCACAGCCGGAACAAAAGATACATGTTCAACTTGCCGCACCCTCTCTTCGTAGTCTTCTTTTTCTCGCTATCGTGTCGATGGTACACAGTGGTACGTGGTGCAGACTGATTTGAGCGAGAATGCGGATTAAAAACCCAGACATGAATGAGGGTTCGCTCAAATCGACTGCCCCACAAACCACTGGCAGCGACATCAAGCTGTGCATCCTCCACATTGGCAGTTCGATATCGCAATTGCTCACCGGTCAGTGGCTGCAGCGTCGGCTCAGTGGACACATTGCTACATACTTGGTTTAGGAGCTGTGTGGTAGTGTCACGGATGGCATTGTGCCGTATTATGGCAAACCCTCTGTGAGGGCAGGAGAGCGAATGAGAAACACTCACCTCTCGGTCACGTGAGCACACGAGTCGGTATCCTGGCCGGCGTACATCCGTAGCGCAGACACAGACCGTCCCAGATCTCCTGCACTTATCGCGAGTGCCTGGCTTTAAAACGTGTGTGACTTATCGCGAGTAGACTGTAGCTGTGTGCGAATGTGTACTGCACAGGCAGAATATTTAGTTGGCGGATAATTTTGTCCAACTCCAAAGATTTCGTCCAGTTGAAAATTTGATCCGCGTAACGGGGCATAATCGTATTCAAAAGCTGGACAAATCGACTTCAGTCCGGCATTTCCGAAAACTCCTTGGACGAAAAAGACGAAAATAAATTCCAGACGAATATTAGGGAGGTTTCGCTCTACGTAATTACGTATGAAAATCCGTATGTCGTACGCGTCGGGGAGCGAGGGCAACTTTCATACGTAAATCTCTCTACGGATTTCCGTAGGAAAGCTCTTTCCTACGTTGGGTCCTCCGTAGGACTTTTTGAAATATTTTTTCGCATTTTCCGCATTTGTCCATGGCAACATTCAAGCCGCGCGAAACACAAGGTACACACACCGTACACCACGTGCATAATATCATAGAAAACGCGGTTTCGGTTCATGGTGCATACGGTGGGCGCATGCAGCCAACGCGTCTCCAAAGCAACAACGCATGTTTAGCAGTCGTGGAGAAATCACGTAGAGCGAAACCCAACAGCTCTGATTTTTACGTATGAAAATTCCGTGCAGTTCATACGTTATTTTCATACGTAATTCCGTAGAGCGAAACCTCCCTATTATCTGCTTCTACCGTACTGTACTTGAAGTTGTAATTTTACAACTGGTGTTTCTATCCCCATGATTGTGTACAGTCATGTGTGCGTGTATGGTTTCCTGTGTAGTTAGGCAATGGGCATTGCTGCCACAGATACCGTGGCGGGGTACTGTACAAACAGAAGATGCAGCCGGTGAATAATTCGTTCAACTCCAAAGAAAATTTTGTTTGTTTAAAAATTTGGTCCATGAGTGTTGAAACATACTGAAAAGCTAGACAAATCAAACTTTAGCCCTGCAGTACATTTGCTCTGAAACTGTTCGGAAATTCCCAGCGAATACTTCTGCTTGGACGGTGGAAAAGCGCTAGGGTTCTCTGCATCAGGGCATCACAGACCGGGGGCGTAGCTGATCCCCCTCTCAGGGGAGGGTGCACGACCGCTTCACCAAAGTGCTGTGTCATCTGTAGTGTACGTGTAGGATGGCGGGTGCATGTCATCATGGTCATTATGTCATTATATCATCATGTCATCATGGTCATTATGTCATCATGTCATCATGGTCATTATGTCATCATGGTCATTATGTCATCATGGTCATTATGTCATCATGTCATCATGGTCATTATGTCATTATGTCATCATGGTCATTATGTCATTATGTCACCATGGTCATTATGTTTAAAAAAACTTCAAGCCTCTTGTACGGGCAAAAATACCATCTTGATGAATAATAGAAATGCAACTAAAACCAAAAAACATTTTTGAAATGAAAAGAACTCACTGTCATTATGTGCATGCTGAACCTAGGTCGAACATTTTAGGGGGGGGGGGGGGTCACGTGCCCCCATGTCCCATGCCAGCTACGCGCCTGCAAACACGTTCATCTCCTGTTTGTTATTTTTCTTGGTGACTGCCGCAGGCGTTTGAAACCGCTGATGGTTATGTGCTGGTCGGCGCGGGCAACAATGGTCAATTTGCCGACCTATGCGCCCGCCTGGACTTGTCACATCTAGCCGAAGACGAGCGGTACACGAGTAACATGAAACGTGTCGACAACCGAGACCAGCTACTGGCAGAGCTATCACGTCGGTTAGTAACCAGTCTTCTTCAACCTTCCATTGTGTCCATGTGTGGTACTGTAAAACCTCCATTATTCACTCTTTTCGAAGGTGACACGCCATTCTCACTGGGGAGATAATTCCATGGGTGGGATAGCAACAAAAAAAACTAGAATAGTGAGAAAAACGTCGATGAGACGAGGATTAGGGAAAGGAATTGCTTTTATTTTTGTCATCAGCTGTCACTGTTTCGCTGTCATCGGCATGCTCGGTGTCTTGTAGGTTTCTGCAGCTGAGTACAGCTGAATGGTTGGAGAAGTTTGACGGTGCACCAATGCCATATGGCCCAATTCAGGATATTGAACAGGTCATCAACGATCCTCACGTAAGTTTGTCGTCTTCTGGTTGTTTGCGGTAAAATGGTGGTCTCGCTGGTAGAGATGCTGCTCTGGCTGCTGGGTGTGTCTGCGTGGCTGTTGCCGTGCGTACGTGTGTGCGTGCGTGTGTGTGCGCGCGTGTGTGTGTGGGGGGGGGGGGGGAGTATGCTCGTGTCTGGATGCAGCATACACGTTGTGTAACTGGTGTATGCTTTGCCGGTATATCGCACACGTGATATCAGCATGTGGTTATGTGGCCAGGTTGCCAAGACGATACCCAGTGACCTCGTCCAATGGCTTTCTGTCGTAAGAATGCATGCACTGGGTCAGAGCACAGGTAACAATGTGATCTGTCTTCTCATCGGAAACTTACTTTCTAGTCCTGTCAAGTTCAAAGTGCGTGTGCATGACGTGTCATGTACGATGTCAGTTTATAGGTACAGTAAAACCTGCGACTAAAGACCACCCCTTGGGGCCAGAGAAAGCGGTCTCTAGTGGCAGGTGGTCTTTAGTTAGAGGTTTGCACCACACAACCATGCATGAATGTGAGACCGTCCCGGCCTGGCAATGTGGTCTGTACTCTGTAGTACCAGGCTGGTCGCTAGTCACGGTGGTCTTTAGTTACAGGTTTTACTGTAGTACCAGGCTGGTCGCTAGTCACGGTGGTCTTTAGTTACAGGTTTTACTGTATTGTGTGTGTGTGTGTGTGTATGTGTGTGTGTGTGTGTGTGTGTGTGTGTGTGTGTGTGTGTGTGTGTGTGTGTGTGTGTGTGCGTGTGCGTGTGTGTGTGTGTGTGTGTGTGTGTGTGCGTGCGTGCGTGCGTGTGTGCGTGCGTGTGTGTGTGTAGGGAGGGCCCAAATATGCCCAAAATTTCGCATATTATGCTCTGGCATATTGGCCACTTGCTTCGAAATTTCCTTCGAAATCACCCAAACGCAGAACGTATGCTCGAAATATGCTTGCCCACGTCGCAGCCCGAAAACACTGATATCGGACGTTCTGAAAGGTATTTTGAGTATGTCAATGAGGAAAGGGGTGAAAGTAATGCGAACCAAACATGCACGGTGGCACATGTGTGCAGAAAGAGAACAGCTATGCCTGGCTTGAGCATGAAATGCTGAAAACAGGCAAAATGCAAACGTAAATAACTGAAGGACTAACAGAAAAGAAAGGAGCAAACTCGGGAGAACCAACAACCATGAGTCACACAATATTCAGTGCGGTGTGCAGCACTTCGATGCCTGTACTGTAGTAGCGCCTAAAAATATCATGCACAAACACCGAGAAACATAGCCGGGAAATGAGCAAATTAAAGAGATATACCCGGTTTGATTTGACGTTGCACTGTCGGCCTAATATGGGATTACAAGTACATTGGTTTGTAGCTAGTTGGATGAACATATTGCCTCGCACAGAGCCTTCCAGCTCTTACGGCAGGCGGCTGTTGCCTGGAGCGAATGGAGATCTCCCAGAGTCAGGAGCCTACCCTGCCCAGATTTCTGCAGATCTTGATGCTGCACGCTGGGCAGTGTGATGTGTGGCCGGCCAAGCCATCCGCTGCTGTTGTTTGCGAAGAAGATTTCCATTGCCAACACTGCGGGGGTTGATGTTGGCAGCCGTAAGACATGGCCAAATAGACGCCACCTGGCACGGTGTACGACGATGCCGATCTCCTCCATTTGGCACCTCCTGTACAGTGCTTCACTGGAGATGCGCTGTGGCCATTTGATGCCAAGGAGAGACCGCAGCTGACGTCTGTGGAAGGCATCCAACTTCTGGAGAGCAGATTGCGTGAGGCCCCCGAGTGCCACAGTTGTACGTTAGGACGGGTAGGACGAACGCTGAGTATAGTCGCAGGCGCAGACGCTCACTCACAGCAGATCTCCGTTTCCAGAGGTTAAACATCGATGCGAAGGCCGCTGTAGCAAGCTGCTTCCGCCGTGCTACGCCAGCCTTGTCGCCAAGCAGAGATCCTAGTTTTCGGACCATTCTCCACTCCTCACCAATCCTGTCGTTGCTTCCGTGCACGTGAGTACGTTGCGTTTTTAAACCAGAACTCTGCCATATGCTTGCATGAAGTAAGACTGAAGGTGTTCCTGCAATGAACGCAGACCATCAACCTTTGCCAGCAGAACGCCTTCTCGCAAGAAAATCTCCTTAACTTCGAAACGATACGCACGATGGTCCAGGAATAATGTATCTCCAGCAACCCTTGCTTGATCGCGCTGTTTCAATGTGTCCTTGTAGAGCTGTTGACGTTTGCTGGTTTTCTCACGATCTAACTTCTCCTCCTGGTGCTGTCTGGTCTTGACATGTTGCTGCACGCTGCTCTTTTCCTCCGAGAGATAGGTAGGACAAACGCCACAGAACAGACAACCCTCCCTTCGGTCCAAACACCTCATCTGTAAATTCCGTGAGTCGGACAGCATTGCTCATACTCTTGAGTTCTTTCTCCGTGCACCTCTTTCCTCGAAGTTCAGCAGAGGAGTTGGTGGGGAGTTTTCTCTTTCTACATATTTCTGCAGGCTTTGGTTCACCATGCGTGAACTGCGGTGCCCTTCGCGGACACTCTCTTCTGGGGCCAAATGTTCGCCCCGTGTTCGGATGATACAGCCGAACATTTTTCATTCAGGGCTAAGTTTGGAAGTGTTCGCAGACCTAGTGTGTCGTAGTAAGTTTCGTGCGTGCATGCGTGTGTGTGGTGTGTGTGTGGTGTGTGTGTGTGTGGTGTGTGTGTGTGTGTGTGTGTGTGTGTGTGTGGTGTGTGTGTGTGTGTGTGTGTGTGTGTGTGTGTGTGTATGTGTGTGTGTGTGTGTGTGTATGTGTGTGTATGTGTGTGTGTGTGTGTGTGTGTGTGTGTGTGTGTGTGTGTGTGTGTGTGTGTGTGTGTGTGTGTGTGTGTGTGTGTGTGTGGTGTGTGTGTGTGTGTGTGTGTGTGTGTGGTGTGTGTGTGTGTGTGTGTATGTACATGTGCCTGTACAGACGAAGCATCAGAACATGATACAGGAGATAGAACATCCTACGGCTGGACAGATCTCCATGCAAGGTAAGCTACACCCATACCTACACCCATATCTACACCCATACCTATACCCATACCTACACCCATACCTACATCCATACCTACACCCATACCTACACCCATACCTACACCCATACCTACACCCATACCTACACCCATACCTACACCCATACCTACACCCATACCTACACCCATACCTACACTCATACCTATACCCATACCTACACCCATACCTATACCCATCCCTATACCCATACCTACACCCATACTTACACCCATACCTACACCCATACCTACACCCATACCTACACCCATACCTACACCCATACCTACACCCATACCTACACCCATACCTACACCCATACCTACACCCATACCTACACCCATACCTATACCCATACCTACACCCATACCTACACCCATACCTACACCCATACCTACACCCATACCTACACCCATACCTATACCCATACCTATACCCATACCTACACCCATACCTACACCCATACCTACACCCATACCTACACCCATACCTACACCCATACCTACACCCATACCTACACCCATACCTACACCCATACCTACACCCATACCTACACCCATACCTACACTCATACCTATACCCATACCTATACCCATACCTATACCCATACCTACACCCATACTTACACCCATACCTACACCCATACCTACACCCATACCTACACCCATACCTACACCCATACCTACACCCATACCTATACCCATACCTATACCCATGCCTACACCCATACCTACACCCATACCTACACCCATTCCTACACCCATACCTACACCCATACCTACACCCATACCTACACCCATACCTACACCCATACCTACACCCATACCTACACCCATACCTACACCCATACCTACACCCATACCTACACTCATACCTATACCCATACCTATACCCATACCTACACCCATACTTACACCCATACCTACACCCATACCTACACCCATGCCTATACCCATACCTATACCCATACCTACACCCATACCTACACCCATACCTACACCCATTCCTACACCCATACCTACACCCATACCTATACCCATACCTATACCCATACCTACACCCATACCTACACCCATACCTACACCCATACCTACACCCATACCTATACCCATACCTATACCCATACCTACACCCATATCTACACCCATACCTACACCCACACCCACACCCATACCTACACCCATACCTACACCCATACCTATACCCATACCTACACCCATACCTACACCCATACCTACACCCATACCTATACGCATACCTACACCCATACCTATACCCATACCTACACCCATACCTACACCCATACCTATACCCATACCTATACCCATACCTACACCCATACCTACACCCATACCTACACTCATACCTATACCCATACCTATACCCATACCTATACCCATACCTACACCCATACTTACACCCATACCTACACCCATACCTACACCCATACCTACACCCATACCTATACGCATACCTACACCCATACCTATACCCATACCTACACCCATACCTACACCCATACCTACACCCATACCTACACCCATACCCACACCCATACCTACACCCATACCTACACCCATACCTACACCCATACCTACACCCATACCTATACCCATACCTACACCCATACCTACACCCATACCTACACCCATACCTACACCCATACCTACACCCATACCTACACCCATACCTATACCCATACCTACACCCATACCTATACCCATACCTACACCCATACCTACACCCATACCTATACGCATACCTACACCCATACCCACACCCATACCTACACCCATACCTATACCCACACCCATACCTACACCCATACCTACACCCATACCTATACCCATACCTATACCCATACCCACACCCATACCTACACCCATACCTACACCCATACCTATACCCATACCTATACCCATACCTATACCCATGCCTACACCCATACCTATACCCATACGTACACACTGTGATAATATGGCATGACACATGGCGCTACAGATATAACACATTGCGCTGAGCATACAACTTGTAACTTGCTATACTTGTCCTGTCTTTCTAAATAACATGAGTTTAATGCACATGCTCTTGGTTTGGTTTTTGGCTTTTTTGTGCTTTGGTGTTACTTGTTGTTTTTGGAGAGTTGCGTCCTCTCCACTGAATTGGTTTTGCAAAAAAAAACACAAAAAACCCCAAACCATGTTCATATATGTGCATGTGCTGGTCCCCAGTGCAGCACAGTTAAAACTTAAAAGAAAACAAAAACAAAAAACATGCTAGATGTGTAGCGTTTCAGTTGTTACCTGTGTCTTGTCATCCCACCGGTATGTTACATTGCATTCACAACGCTTTCTTCGAGTAGTCGCTCCTAATCACAATAAACCTGTTCACCAGCTTGTAATACGCACTATCAGGTCGGCTAGTTTGGGCAGTTCGCAAGAGTGCTCTGTGTACTTCGGTACATACTGGTTGGTAGACATACTGGTTGGTGTACAGACTGGTTGGTGTGCAGACTGGTTGGTGTGCAGACTGGTTGGGGTGCAGACTGGTTGGTGTACAGACTGGTTGGTGTACAGACTGGTTGGTGTACAGACTGGTTGGTATTAGGGGTGAAACGATTACAGTCAGACCTCGCTTAACCGCACACATCTGTTTTCCACAAAATATCCGGATAGGCGAGGGAACCGGATAACTGAACACACATACTGTATATGCATGTGGCATGTCAAAAGCAGTGACATCGTACATACATGTAGACGGGTCCTATGCAGTACAACTATCGTGCACAGTATGTAAAACAAGCGAGAAAAATGACAAATGCATGCAACTATGTCCTGTCCACATGCACCCAGCAGGTCAAGGACCTCATTTGCCTGTACAACTCCCTGATTCTAGCTTTTGGAAGCCACATGCAACCGGATACGACGAAGCTTTTTGTACACATTTTAACCAGTTTGTACACAAAATCATGCACCGGTATGCGGATCGCGAGGTCCGGTTATGTTGTATGCATACCATATGCTGCACATCGGTAACCAGCGATTTTCTTCCGGATGGCGAGGGATCCGGATAAACGAGGACCGGATAAGCGAGGTCTGACTGTAGTTCGAATATTCGAGTATTCTTTCGAAAATTTCAAACAAGCGAGTATTCGAAATTTTGCACTCGATCGTTTTTTTATTTTTTATTTTTTATTTTTTTAGTATTGGCATTCTATTTTTTCAAAAACTTCTGTTGTACCGCTCATCGACTGGTATGCATGCTTTATGCATGCCTTTGAGTCAGTATTTTATGACTTGGACGATGCGATCACCACGGCAAGTAACGTTAGTTTCTTATGAGATAATGAAAGTACTGGTGAAAAATCGTTACTTTACACTCTGTACAAGACGTTGGCGACTTTTGTTCTATGTTCACAGATAATTTCTTCCGAATAGGTCGAGAACTCACAAATCTAGCGCTTTTGAATTTTGATAAAATACTCGAAAAAATCGGATACTCGATCGAATATTATGAATGAGTGATCGATTGGTCAAAATAGATAATCGTTTCACCCCTAGAACTTGGTGTACATACTGGTCGGTATACATACTGGTTGGTGTACAGACTGGTTGGTATGCAGACTGGTTGGTATGCACGGTTACAGGAGACAAGAGGCTGTTAGCTGTAACCGTTTAAAGCTTCTCTCGAATACCGGTATTGGATGTCTCTGGCCACTCGGCAGCCGTATTGTGTGTGTGTGTGTGTGTATGTGTATGTATGTGTGTATGTGTGTATGTGTATACATGTGTGGGAACGTGTATGCGTAAGACCCGTGAATGCATGCTACACTCGTCTCCGTATGTCTGTGCGTACATATCTGTCTGTATATATGTACGTGTTTGTCTGTGTGAATATTTCAGGTCCAGCGGTGCACTACAGTGGCTTTGAGCAGACCATCAACCGCGCACCTCCGTTGCTAGGACAACACAATGCGGCGGTGCTACGTGATTGGCTGGAGATGAGTGACCCGGACATTGAGAGTCTTGTGTCGGATGGTGTGCTGGGTACCTCAGTGTAGGTCATCAACAACTGTGGAGAGAGAGAGCAGAGAGAGCAGAGAGAGAAAGAGAGAAAGAGAGCAGAGAAAGAGAGCAGAGAGAGAGAGAGAGAGAGAGAGAGAGAGAGAGAGAGAGAGAGAGAGAGAGAGAGAGAGAGAGAGAGAGCAGAGAGCAGAGAGCAGAGAGCAGAGAGCAGAGAGCAGGGAAGGTGAACATGTCTCGCTCACTCTACTGGAGCGTGGCAATGGCGGAGGAGAGTTAGAACGACGCTGCACTGCTGTCTCCATGGCTGACCGCCATGCTTGTCCACGTGCACACCCTGTACAGCCATTATGGTGATGACCGTTGTAATGGTTTGCTGCTGCTGCTGCGTTGTGCCAGGGACAGTGAACCCTCATCATCCATTGCTGCTGCGTTGTGCCAGGGACAGTGAATCCTCATCATCCATTGCTGCTGCGTTGTGCCAGGGACAGTGAACCCTCATCATCCATGCAGCCGTTGTTAATACACACACACGCTGCGTGTGTCTGCTGCTGATTTTGAAATAATTATGACGTGTGTTAGGATACTCTGGCTCCCTATGCCGGTACATGCCCCCCCCCCCCCCCTCCCTCTCCCCCCTCCCCTTTCTACACTGCCGTGCTATTTTCACTGACTTTCTCACTACATTTTTGTATATTAATTTATCATTGCCGTATTTGAATTCAAAGCCGTACTAACGAGGTCCCAAAAGTGTGAGCCGCTGGTTCAAGTACACATTACGCTGGTTCAAGTACACATTTTACGGTAACTTTGTACAGTGTAGTTGTAGCGTAGTTCATCATGCCTTTCACGGTTGTCTTTTCATTCTCTCCTTTTTTCTGTTTTTGGCTTTCTCTCTCGCGCCTGAAGTTTTCCTCTCAGTTAGACGAGAACTCCTTCCAGAATAACAATACTTTTTTCCCTCTGGAATTTAGTGGGCTTACGTCGTGAAACCGTTTTTAAAAACTGCACGGTTTATTGCCTCTTAAGGCCATCATTTTTTATTTCATTTTTTATATCATTTTTTATATCATTTTTTATATCTATGTTTCGCGTCGTCCGCACGCATACGTTTTGATTTTTTTCGGAAAAAAAATAAAAAATCAATCATGTACAGTTTAGTGTACGATCGTGCAAGTCATCGGTGTTGACTGGTTGCATACGGCGAAACTGGGATTCAGAAATGGCCTCGAGGCCAGCGTTGGTAAATCGTTTGTTCGGCATCTGCGAGCAGTATTCTATGAGCTTACAACAGACCGCATCGGTCGCCTCAAGCTGAGAGGATACGTCGTTCCGGAGCTCTTTGCTGAAGGCTGAGTACAATAATCCAGCGAAGCAAGGGCACCAACGGTTGCCTCCTCTGTCCAAAGTGATGCAGATTTTGTGCTTCGATGTACGATTTTTCTTTCGAATGTACACCATGCACGAGCTATTGAGTATTATGCTATGTTGCAACTTTTTTTTATTTTTTCCACCTCTCGCATAATATGATTCTGGAAGTTGAACTGACGCGAAACAGAGATATAAAAAATGATGGCCTAATATCCCAAAGGTAACAAACGGTTACAAACCCTTTTTTCATCTTTTTCATTACACTACTGATGATGGGCCAGGCCCGAAAATTTGGTATAATGTAAATTTGAATTTAATCCCAGTGAAGAGACCGTTTTTGGAGTTTGGAGTTGAGAAGTGAAGTTTCCTTAATGTGTAAATGCCTGCATTGGAGTTTGCGAACAATTACAGTCCATTCATTGGAAACTGGCACCCTAACTTTTTGGTGTCTCTCTCACATAGTTGTAGATATCGTGAAAACAACAGTACATCCTGCATTGTGTGACCCGTGCAATTACACCTTGCCACATTTGAGGCCAGAAAAGTCCAAGAACAGGGAAATAGAAATTCAGCCAGGTTTTACAAAATTAGGGCAGGTATACCATGGCAAAATGTATGGAGAAGCAGATCCAAAACCCAGATTTTTGAGATAGCGCCATCACAAAGCATTTGCAAGCGCAACCTGAATGCATCCCGCAGGAACGCAACAGCAGCCCGGAACAGCGCGCACCGATTCACACTGGAGGCGCTGTACATTCGCAGTTTGAGGCCAGAACTGTGTCGACACAAGAAGCACATCAACTAATATATTACTTGAGGTGCTACGGCTGTTCGATCAAGCTGCAACCGGACTGACAACTTTATCACGTGTTTGTTCTGGTAGTGGTACTGCATTCCCCTCATGTGTTGTTTCCCGCATTTTTCCATTCTTATGGTAGTGTAGTGTGAACTTGAGGCGCGTAAGAATATTCTTGCTGATTCTCTACCCCCAGTATAAAATCTGGCTTCGTTTTCGTTCTTGCTCATTCCCATGTAACTACTGATGAAACTGGGTGAAAAGCTTTTAGTATTATGGACAACCTTGTTGTTGTGTGTATATATATATAATTATACTCAATCTGCGGACAGAACTGTTTCGTCCTTTGTGGACTCGTCAGCGCAGCACAGAGGAAATGAGGCCGAACCTGATAGCAATGGAAATAAAAATTTCCAATCAGGCCCGAACGTACCTTGCCAGAGTGCTCAAACTGACAAGTCAGTGAGCTCTGCATAACGCACACAGCAAAGGCACTACCCCACGCAAGAGTGCTCAACTGCTACAAGAGCAGGAGCGAAATACTCAATCTGCGGACAGAACTGTTTCGTCCTTTGTGGACTCGTCAGCGCAGCACAGAGGAAATGAGGCCGAACCTGATAGCAACGGAAATAAAAATTTCCAATCAGGCCCGAACGTACCTTGCCAGAGTGCTCAAACTGACAAGTCAGTGAGCTCTGCATAACGCACACCGCAAAGGCACTACCCCACGCAAGAGTGCTCAACTGCTACAAGAGCAGGAGCGAAATACTCAATCTGCGGACAGAACTGTTTCGTCCTTTGTGGACTCGTCAGCGCAGCACAGAGGAAATAATTATATATATCCTGGTGGTGACAGTCAATTTTTTCTTCAGACTTTTCCCGTTTGTCTCTTTCCCTCAAACCAGTTAATATATACACAATCCAGTATAGTCCTCACCAAGTACACATTCTTTCTGTTGCTACTCAGAGTTTCTTGAACAATCAATCATCAGGCAACAAACAACTAAAGCTGGGCATGCAAAAACAATGCTAGATATACCCATCACGCAGCAAGCACGGACACAAAAGTGTCACGCACAAAGTGTCACGCACAAAGTGTCAGGCGCAAAGTAACTTAGTTAGAAAGACAAGTGTTAGAAAGCAGCGCAGTTGTCAGTATGCTTTTCAAGTGGCAAGCTTGTGAGTGTGGGCTTTGTGTACAGTGACAATCGTATTCGCGCAATTTTGATGGAAGTGTCCGTTACAAGTGAGGTGGGTTGTCACGTCCGTTGGCCGGAGTGCAGCGTGCTATCCTCGCTTGTTATGTGACCCCGGTGAAGTTGGCTAGGCGATACTTGTTAGCGTGGCGGCATTTTGCGATGACTTCGCTTCTCTTGTTGAGCATGGTCTCATCGCCAAGGAGAATCCATGTTTTCTCAGCTGTGCACAGGTTACATCTTTTTGTGACGGTGCTGTAGGAGTTGGCCTTTTCCTTTATCTGCCATCTGAGCTGGTAGTCCTGGTGGTTTTGTTTCTTCTCCCAGAGGTGTTTCGACAGCTCAGTGCTAGTGCGGTATCTCTCATGTCGGAACGACGTGGTGTGGTTGTTGTATCTGGCTTTGAATTCCGTGTCTGCGCAGCCAATGTACAATCTTCGCTCATCCTGGCTGGTGACATGTGCCTCGTATATAATGTGTGATGCCAGGCAGCGGCCTTCCAGTGGGCATTCGTTCTTTTTTCTGCAGCTACATGGCTTTTCAGGTGTAGCTTTGGTTAGGAGGCGCATGTTGTGACTGCTGATAGAGGCTGCGACGTTTGGCATGCAGCAATAGCTGACTTTTACATTGTTGTGGTTGAACAGTTTTGCGAGCGGGGTGTTCTTGAAATGGCGATCAATCAGCTTCAGGAAGGTCGCAGCCACATTGGTGTGCACGTTGCGGCTGAATGGTGGGTTGAACCAAGTAATGTGGCGTTTCCTTTTTCTCTTTTTCTTTCTTCCTTCGCCTTGTTCCGGTTCGATGTATTGGATCGTTTCCGTGTATCCACTTGCGGACAGGGCTGCATTATACATCGGTGCTGCTTGGCTGAAGGCATCGGCATCCGAGGAGTTCATTGAGACGCGCTTGCTGATGGCGGCAGGTAGTTGCTTTAGTATGTTTGGTGGATGGTTGGAGTGGGTATATATATATAAAATAAACACACTTGAGAGGGATGAAAAGCATTTCTTCTGTAACTCTCTGTAACTTTGAGTTTCACGGTTTTAACCGATCATCAGACAGCAACCTGACCACAATTTTCAGAAGATAAGATTGATATAGGCTGCAAGCTTGGATCATAGCGCAAATGGATGATCCGGGCTGATAGTGTAAGGAAGATTGCGCCACAAAAGCAGCAGCAGCAGCAGCAGCTGTGGCGGTGGCAATCAGCTATACTGATGGTAGATAAGTTACAACATCACACGACAAAGGCGTGTGCAAGCGCTTCTTCTTTGACGGCGTTGTCCCGGCGATCGGATAGCTAGCGTCCGTGGCGATCCCGCACATGTTGTCATGGTTACGTGCCGTCCTGATGTATCCCTTGTCTCCCCAGCTGGTACCCCAAGTGTTCTTGACCAGCCAGTAGTCCTGCTCTTCCTCAACACCGTAGCCGACAACCAGGGCAGCGTGATTCGGGTAAGCGTTGGTGCGCTTGCTGTCGATCAGGACAATGTGCTTGTAGTAGCGGAAATACGTCGATGAGGCGTCGATGGCAATCGACACTGGGCCAACCTGCGATACGACAGCCGGCAGGAACAGAAGAGAACACACAGAGAGTGAAGAGTATTACAATTACATGTACAGGTAGACTCCCTCTAATTCGAATACGGTATAATTCGAACATTCCGTGTAATTCGAACTTTTTCGTCGTACCGATCTTCTGCAAGTCACTTCAAGTCAAAATCGAATGCATAATTCGAAGTACGAAAAGTGCGCCGGTTGGATAATTCGAACCCAGTCTTCGTACAGAAGAGCTGTTTACAGTACATTAGCTATGTCCTTTGAACGCTTATTTCGAAGTCAGATTGAGTTGCTATCCTTGTAATTCGAAGTTCATTCTTTTCTCCTTCTCTAGCCAAGAGTAGCTCAAAAATCGATCGATGGTCCGCTGCAGGATCGACTATAGCGTTCAAGAAACCCACCTTCTCTCGAAATTTCTTTCAAGCCCGTGCGAGGCAAATTGCAAAGGTTTGATTGAAGACGACGTCTTCCAGGTGGCTGACTCTCTTCGCGGGTCTCGATGGCCTTTCATGCCGCGCCAGCTCGTGCGCGGAGATGTTGGCGCACAAAAACACTATTGTCGTAAATATTGTCTATGCCTATGCTCCACTTCCGTTCTTCAGAACGACGTGCTGCTGTCCGACGGCCTTTCATGACGCGGATTAGGCAGCGCAGTTCTTTTCCGTTGAAACTGTTTCAGGAAAGCTGCAGTGACTGACAACTTACTTCTTCACTAGAAAATGAAGATGTCAAAATGATTTTGTGTCGATCCAGTGTTATGATCCGTTGTACACGACCGGTACGACCAGTCGACCACCTATGTTTCGTTGATGCAAATAAAAAATGTGCAAAAAATATTCATAAAGAGAACAAATTCTGCTGTCATCGCCACACTACAACAAAGTCATGAAGGTTTACCAAAATCGATTTTCTTGTCACAATCATCAGTGGAAAGCCGTGACTGAAGAATAACCATGCCAAATCAATAATTTATATACATTCAATAATGTGTTACGAGAACAAAACAAAGTGCTAAAAATAGAATGAGGGAAGGTGAGACAATAGAAGTAAAGTGAGAGCTAAGTGCAACAGGGGTGAGGAACTAATTGCAACGCTAGAACTATGTAGTGAGACAAACAATCATGCTGTGCACCTACGAAAACAATCTTAACGCAACTACATGTTTCTTCTGCTTACAAAGATCAGGCTTATGCAAACGAATACAAACAGCCTCAAGTACTTTCAACTGACTAGCGTACCGTGCACGACAAAGAACAGAAAAACTAAAATCATCATACACCTCCAGACACTTAGGGTGAGACAACAGATGAAGAAAAACGGCAGACTTCTTACGATCACAATCACCATCCGATTCCTCGTCTCCACCAACCGCAACCTCGTCCCCCGTCTCATCTTCCAACTCATCCCCAGTGTCGTCCTCCGTGTCATTCTCCTCATCACCACCGATCGGTCCCAGGCTCGCTTCACGTTGCTGAACCTCTGTTCGTTGACTCCTCCTTTGATCTTGATGGTAATTTGTTATCATTGTTGTTGTTGTTGTCATTGTTGTTGTTCCTGTTGTTGCTAAATCTTCTGTTCCCAGTGTCTTCACCGGTGCTTGACATCCAGTACTGTAATAATTCATTGAATAATTAGCCGTTGATCGTCTAGGTCTTTGAATGTTGATCGTGTTGTTTTCTCTGTTGAATTCCGTTTCCTTCAGCCTTCTTTCTTCTTGTTCATGTTCAGTGCTTACCTCATCCATATTTGCCCGTTCCAGCGACATCACAGACTCAGCCCCAGCACTGCCGATGGCAGATGCAGGTGGCGGTTCTGGGGGAGGCAACGGCAACGATGGCGATGGGGGCATCACCATGATCACCTCGCCGCAGCGTCCACTTTGGTCTTGAGCTGGATGTTGTTGTGGTGTACTTTCTTGTGTTGTTATGGTGCATTGTGCTATAACGTTAGTGACAATGTGCACATTATCCATCTCCACGGCTCTCGATACGGGTAATGGAGGCACTATTGCCGTCGACGGCAATTGTGCTAACGATGGCTCTGATCGAGGGTTCTTAGGTGGCCTGCCGCGTTTGGGTCGCAGTGCCCGTGCCGAGCCAGTCAGCATGTGCAGTGGGACGTGCTGCTTGATACGTGCGTTCAGATGTTGAAGAGTCCTACCAACGTACCGACTACCGCATTGTCGGCACTCAAATTGGTATACCAATTTAGATGCATCTGCATCTGCCATCGGCAGTGCTGGGGCTGAGTCTGTGATGTCGCTGGAACGGGCAAATATGGATGAGGTAAGCACTGAACATGAACAAGAAGAAAGAAGGCTGAAGGAAACGGAATTCAACAGAGAAAACAACACGATCAACATTCAAAGACCTAGACGATCAACGGCTAATTATTCAATGAATTATTACAGTACTGGATGTCAAGCACCGGTGAAGACACTGGGAACAGAAGATTTAGCAACAACAGGAACAACAACAATGACAACAACAACAACAATGATAACAAATTACCATCAAGATCAAAGGAGGAGTCAACGAACAGAGGTTCAGCAACGTGAAGCGAGCCTGGGACCGATCGGTGGTGATGAGGAGAATGACACGGAGGACGACACTGGGGATGAGTTGGAAGATGAGACGGGGGACGAGGTTGCGGTTGGTGGAGACGAGGAATCGGATGGTGATTGTGATCGTAAGAAGTCTGCCGTTTTTCTTCATCTGTTGTCTCACCCTAAGTGTCTGGAGGTGTATGATGATTTTAGTTTTTCTGTTCTTTGTCGTGCACGGTACGCTAGTCAGTTGAAAGTACTTGAGGCTGTTTGTATTCGTTTGCATAAGCCTGATCTTTGTAAGCAGAAGAAACATGTAGTTGCGTTAAGATTGTTTTCGTAGGTGCACAGCATGATTGTTTGTCTCACTACATAGTTCTAGCGTTGCAATTAGTTCCTCACCCCTGTTGCACTTAGCTCTCACTTTACTTCTATTGTCTCACCTTCCCTCATTCTATTTTTAGCACTTTGTTTTGTTCTCGTAACACATTATTGAATGTATATAAATTATTGATTTGGCATGGTTATTCTTCAGTCACGGCTTTCCACTGATGATTGTGACAAGAAAATCGATTTTGGTAAACCTTCATGACTTTGTTGTAGTGTGGCGATGACAGCAGAATTTGTTCTCTTTATAGCTATTATAAAATTGTTGTCTCCGCGTCGATTATTTACAAAAAATATTCAGCATGCGATTTCAAGCATTTTGACATACATATCAGTACATGGGGCTGCATTTGGATAATTAGAAGTTCTGGATAATTCGAAGTTAGGGCCTGGCAATTTGAGGTTCGAATTAAAGGGAGTCTACCTGTATATGTTTCTATACATCGCCGAATGCAATCAAGTGCTGGGAAATATATCACATCCAAAACAGACTGTAGCACTTTCCAAACATCCACAACGCTATTTTACATCATCAGATTTCTTAACGACAACAAGAGTCAATAAGCTGACCGGGAAAGCTGCAACAGCCATGATGACACAGTGGTTGAACACAGGGAGTCTTAAAATACCGGTATTTTACGACTCCCTGGTTCAACAGACACGATGGTCCAACAGAGTAGAAGCGCAGTGGGCCGGCCAACAACACACTATGCTGTGGTGCAGCGAGCAGTAAAACAAAGAGTTGGTGGACAAGCCATTGATTGTGCACTCTCATTGTAATATCTAAAACCAAAGAGTGGTATATACATGTATGATAAAGCTTTCTTATCTTTAGCCGGATATGTTCTCCTAAGACACAGCTTCTAATATGGGCCACCATGCAGAGAGTATTCTTTTATGTGTAAGAAGAGTACTCACCGAGGCAACAGCCTCCTGCAGGGCGCTCTCGGACTTGCGCGGCAGCATGTCCTTGTAGCTGGTGAGGGTGGCGCCGACGTGCGACTCCTTGAAGCGGCATGTACCGGCCTTGGCCGTGTAAGGGTAGCTCTCCTCTGTGTCAATGCCGTGGTTCTCGATGATGTACTTGAAGCCATGGTCCATGAAACCTCCGCCACAGCCACGATCAGCCTCCTTTTGGTTGCAGTCAATCAGGTCCTGCTCGGACAGCGAGACAAGGTTGCCAGTCTTCTTGAAGTGCTGGCCTTCGGTGGAGCCGGTTGTGCTGAACGCCCAGCTGGAGCCGCATGCACCCTGCGTGTGAGCACACAACATGCACACAACATGCACACACACACACTCACACACACACACACACACACAAGTAGAAAGTATTATGGGTGTACCAGCTAACTGACGTCATCGATGACATCATAGCGATTTTACCCTAAACCGGGGCGTCTCACGTACGCGGGTCAAAAGGTTACACACTGTCTGCATCAACCGGAGAGTACCAAAATGTCGATAGTTTCCCACTCCTCGCGATGCTCAGAGTACTCACAGTGTGCTCGGATCAGGTGGAAGTTTCTGGAATCAACTAGAACCGGCGACAAGTTTGAACGGGACGCGGGGTCCATGGCCATCATCTTTAGCGGTTTTCATATGAATCGCACACGTTTCAAAGAGATGTAGTAGTCACGTCACCGCTTTACCCGCTTCACATCCTGAGCGGCGGACTTCAACCAACGAACAACTGGGCGGGGATAAAAGTGATTGGATCCACCTTGATCAGTCCCATTCAACTATCAACCATCAAGATGCTGTTTTCATGCTCAGTCTGTATGAAGACCGCGACCGGCCTCCAGCCGTTCGTGGACCGCCTGAAGTCAGGAAAAGCTGAAGGCCGGTCTGCAGTCCGAATTTCTCTGCTCATGGGAAGTGATCTGTCGTGCAATTCTCAATTCTCCGTCTGCATCAACCGGAGAGTACCAAAATGTCGATAGTTTCCCACTCCTCGCTCAGAGTACTCACAGCGTGCTCGGATCAGGTGGAAGTTTCTGGAATCAACTAGAACCGGCGACAAGTTTGAACGTGACGCGGGGTCCATGGCCATCATCTTTAGCGGTTTTCATATGAATCGTGCACGTTTCAAAGAGATGTAGTACTCACGTCACCGCTTTACCCGCTTCACATCCTGAGCGGCGGACTCCATGATCATCGCGCAGAGTTTTAATGTTGAACTGCGCGCGCGCGCGCCGCACCCTTCAACCAACGAACAACTGGGCGGGGATAAAAGTGATTGGATCCACCTTGATCAGTCCCATTCAACTATCATCAAGATGCTTTTTTCTTGCTCGGCTTGTGGAAAGACCGCGACCGGCCTCCAGCCGTTCGTCGACCACCTGAGGTCTAAAAACCACAGGAGGAAGCTGGAGGCCGGTCTCCAGCCTCTGTTTCTGTGTTCTTGGTAAGTAATCTGTCGTGCAATTCTCTTTATTTGAAATACCAGAGATCTTATACATGTTTTAATCTGTTTCCCCCCCATACAGCGACGACCAATGGCGGACAATGGAGCAGTTTAAACACCATCTTTCGGCCGTTAGCCATCTGACCCATTATATGGTCAAGCTAACTTCCCACTATGGCCAATTACCGATCAACAGTATAATTATCATGATACAGTCACAGATCGATATAAACAATATGTAATTAAAATTTTTAAAATCAACATATCTGTGCTAAATGTGTGGGTCTGGATGGGGGTCGAGTACTCATTCCATTGCATGCTCCGAGTCGATGGGTTTGGCATGCCGAAGTGCGATATGATTGACGTAGTGGGTAGCTGCAAGTTCGTTGAACAGAGCGGAGGCAAACGTATGACAGTTGTTTGTTACAACGTTGTAAATACCCTTGACGAGATTAGAGTCGTAGAGGAAATCTATCAGATCCTGCAGATTAACATGTGATTTGTCAGCAATAATCTCCTCTATCGGAGTTTTTCGATTGGTGCTTCGATAGGAAGATCTCACGCTTGAACGAGTCTTGCCTCTGCATATGCTGACACCGTCGGTTGTTTTTTCCGCCGACCACCACCAGTTTCTCGTTTGAAAGACGACGAAAGCGTGGAAAGCAATCAAATCTGTCGGTTGAAGGTACCACATGGGAGTTTTGTAAATGCCCGCCCAGATGATGGTCTCTTCACCTACCAGGGGCTTGAGATAGGTTTTGATATCGGCGCTGTCGATTCTCCACGCATCTTGTCCGATTTTATTCACGTTCGGGTGGAAGTACACGGCTTTATCGTAGTTAGCACCTCCAAATTTGTGCACGAGCTCCGAAAGTCCGGACGAGATGTTCGTGCACGAGGCAGACAGGATGACGCAACCCTGTTGACAAATTGAGCATAATGATGCATGACGAAAGCAAGTAGAGTCTTTTTATACCGGCTCCTACGACCAATGAACACTCGTCGGCTCTGTATTATAGACGGATGCAGACGGTGCACCGACGCCCTTTCTAGAACATCATGGACCTGATGCATGCCAGAAAAAAGATGCTATCAATCTCGACAGCGCCTCCTAGGCGTCGACAGACATCTGATTAGTTTTCTGAAGAAAACAAACATTGGTGACTTTCTCTCAGCTCACTTCAACCTTCATCCCCTGCAAGAAACGTTGCATTCCCTGAAGAAATCCTGTTTGTACAAAAGTCTCAACCATGCTATTGCACTATCATGCCTCCTATTCGATTGCAATTATATCATTCAGAAGCGTTTACGCACCTTCCTTCCACGCAGCATGGTGATTATTCTGTAATATTGTTTCGTGAACCGCTATAATCGTGAACGATTGCGAGAGAGATCAGCAAACTGGACGGCGCGATGCTGGTGCTTTCTGCACCAGTCTCTGGATGAGTTCACTGACATTCTGCGAAGGAAACAGTGACTACGGCGATTTCAATCCTCCAGGAGGCACTCGAGAACGATTGCCCAGGAGTTGCTGGTACTCCGTGACAATTCTCCATCGCATTTTGGTGTTGATTGCAGCACCAGGCCTTCTCTGTGTTGCGCAAGAAGCAACAGGAGTTCTCTGACGACAAACTTTGGACGCGAAATGCGCGAGTCGACTAGGATTTTGAGGCGTACCAACTCACTGATGTCAGCAATGACGTCATAGCGAGTTAACCCTAAAACCAGGGCGTTTAACCCTATTTTTTTCCGATTTACGGTAAATTTGTGCGATTTAACCTAAAACCGGAGCGTTTTACATATGACGTCATCGATGACGTAATGCGTTTTAACCCTAAAATTTGCGTTTAACCCTAAAAGTCAGGCCATATTAACCCTAATAATCCCGGTAACCCTACCCCTATCACCATGGCGATAGCCCTAACCCTATCACTATGACGATAACCCTAACCCTAGTGCAATCACCATGGCGATAACCCTAATATTCCTGGTGACGATAACCCTAACCCTATCAACACGATAACCCTAACCCCAGGGCTGTCACCATGGCAATAACCCTAATACTGTAGAACGGGTAATTTTAGCGACTATTAGCGTTTTCCCATTGTCAGCTGGTTTAGCGATTTTACTCACGGATCACCAGTGCATTACTAATGTCTCAACGGCGACTTGAAACTTTAGCGAAAATGAGTCGATCGCTAAATTCGCTAGGGTTTTACGTCGCTAAAATGACACGTTCTACAGTATTTCTGCTGACGATAACCCCAAGTTAACCCTAAAACCATGACGATAACCCTAACTCTAGGGCTATCACCATGGCGATAACCTGAATATTTCTGATAACCCTGACCCTAACACCATGACCATAACCCTAATATTCCTGATAACCCTATCACCATGACGATAGCCCTAAATTTTACTGGTGGTGATAACCTTATCACCATGACGATAACCCTAATATTTCTGGTGAGGATAAACATAACACCATGACGATAACCCCTAATTTTAATTTTTCTGGAGACAATAACCCTAGTAGCCCTCGTAACCCTATCACCATGACAATCATATTACCATGTCAACTCTACTCTTTTATGTGTGCAGGTGCTACAGTTGAAGAAGTTCTCGTACCATTGCTTTTTGTGTACAGATCACCACAACAACACTCAGAAAACCCTACAGTCCATTTCAAAACTATAGACACGTAGGGTTTTTGAAATATTTCAAATTTGGCTGGAACGTTTTGAGATTAGTTTTCGGAATATTGCTCAGGTCCGCTCCACAATTACTCTCATAGAGTTTCGATTGGATAACAGATGCCCTATTTGGAAAAAATTATGCACAAGGTGATCACAGATTTTATGTGGTATAGATGCTGGCATAACGGTTTTTGCCTAGGTACGCGTCTATAGTTTTGAAATGGACTGTAATAAGCATCTTACATGTATGTGTGTACAGGTGCTACATGTATATACCCTATTAGCAAATCTTGTTGTTATGTGTACAGATCCTATCGTTATGCTAACCCAATCACCATCGCAACCCCCATCATATCAACTCTTTGATGACAGCCGTAATAACTCAATCACCATCACAACCCATACGTGTCTACAGGTACTGTAGAGTTGTTGAAAAAATCCTCCCCCGATTTACCTAACAGCAAGACTTAGTAAACTATTTTACTTACCTTGCACGAATTTATACAACAATTCAATTGGGGGGAGGGTCATTCTCATCACCAGGTAAGATGCACATGTGCATTCACACTCAGCTGTATGGCGATAGTGTTGCAGCTGCAAACGATGAAAAATTACCAAAAAAATAAATATATCTATTAGATGGACTCAGACTACGAGCAAGAATTGTGTACGATCGTAATCGGGTAGACATGCAATGGCCGGCGATCACGTACCTCGTACGAAGCAATGGCGCAAGGAGATGAAGAGGGATGTCCATCTCTTGTCCGACTAAACGACTAGGCTAAAATAATTCCAGGACTACATGAAAGAAAGGAACACTGTCACTACGAAATGATTTGAGGAATTGAAGATCGCTTCAATATACGTGCACACCACTTACTTCGACGAGTTTGAAATTTTCAAGTTCGTACGCATCAAACCACAAAGCCAGTCAAAACGGGAGTCTAGTGCAGGATACACATCAAAAGCGCGCCCGAACCCTCGCGTATGCGGGATCAAAAGGTTACATACTGTCTGCATCAACCGGAGAGAAGCAAAATGTCCATAGTTTCCCACTCCTCGCGATGCTCAGAGTACGAACAGCGTACTCAGATCAGGCGCAAGTTTCTGGAATCAACTAGAACCGACGGCAAGTTTGAACGCGACGCGGGGTCTATGACCATCGTCTTTAGCGGTTTTCAATTCTATGAATGGCGCACGTTTCAAAGACATGTAGTTACTGTTACTAGCACTCACGTCACCGCTTTACATCCTTTTTGAGTGGTGGCCACCATGATCATCATCTTTATCGCGCGACTTTCAACAATCTACTATGTGAATCCCACACGTTTCAAAGAGATGTTCACCATGTGGTATTCACGGTACCGCCCAATTTACCCGCTCCACACCCTGAGTAGCAGACTCCATGATCATCGCGCAGAGTTGTAATGTTGAACTGCGCGCCGCACCCTTCAACCAACGAACAACTGGGTGGGGATAAAAGTGATTGGATCCACCTTGATCAGCCCCATTCAACAAACCAGCAAGCTGCAAGATGTTGTTCAGCTGCTCCGTCTGCTCCAAAACGGCGACTGGCCTCCAGCCGTTCGCCGATCACTTGATGTCCAACGGACATCGAAAGAAGCTGGAGGCCGGTCTTCAGCCTCAGTTCCTATGCAGCTGGTAAGTGATCTGTCGTGCAATTCTCTTTATTTGAAATACCAGAGATCTTATACATGTTGTTTTTATCTGTTTCCTCCATGCAGTGACAATCAATGGAGAACCATGGCGGAGACAAAGGAACAGCTCAAGACGAAGGAGCATGTTGAGAACTACCTTCAAAAGCTTCAGCACTATTATGGGGAGCTCCCCACGGAGTCCATTATCACGATAAAAGCAAATGCAACATTATCATCAATTTAATTAAACAGGTTTAAAACCAACATATCTGTGTTAAATGTTTGTCTGGACGGGGGTCGAGAACTCATTCGATTGCATGTTCCGAGTCGATGGTTTGGCACGTTGAAGCTCAATGTGATTGACGTAGTGGGTAGCTGCAAGTTCGTTGAACAGAGCGGAGGCAAACGTATGGCAGTTGTTTGTTGTCACGTTGTAAATGCCCTTGACGAGATTGGAGTCGTAGAGGAAATCTATCATATCCTGCAGATTTACATGTGATTGGTCAGCAATAATCTCCTCTATCGAAGTTTTTCGATTGGTACTTCGATAGGAAGATGTCACGCTTGAACGAGTCTTGCCTCTGCATATGCTAACACCGTCGGTGTTTTTTCCGCGGACCACCACCAGTTTCTCGTTTGAAAGACGACGAAAGCGTGGAAAGCAATCAAATCCGTCGGTTGAAGGTACCACATGGGAGTTTTGTAAATGCCCGCCCAGACGACAGTCTCTTCACCTACGAGGGGTTTGAGATAGGTTTTGATATCGGCGCTGTCGATTCTCCATGCATCTTGTCCGATTTTATTCACGTTCGGGTGGAAGTACACGACTTTATCGTAGTTAGCACCTTCAAATTTATGCACGAGCTCCAAAAGTCCGCACGAGATGTTGGTGCACGAGGCAGACATGATGACGAGAGCATGAAAATTGCATGCAACCCTGTTGACAAATTGAGCATAATGATGCATGACGAAAGCAAGCAGAGTCTTTTTATACCGACTCCTACGACCAATGAACACTCACCGGCTTTGCATTATAGACGGATGCAGACGGTGCATCGACACCATTTCCAGAACATCGTGGACCTGTGTGATCAATTTGACGCGCTCATCAATTACGTTCGACAGCCAAAGGGCTCATCGACACGTGATGATGGCTGCAATCACGTGACCGAGGCAGTGATAGATGGACACTACGTGTGCACGTCGTGTGCGCACGTGATCGATCAGCACGTCTACGCACTGGAGCATGATTTTCAAAACAAAGCGATGCATGCCAGAAAAAAGATGCTATCAATCTCGACAGCGCCTCCTAGGCGTCGACAGACATCTGATTAGTTTTCTGAAGAAAACAAACATTGGTGACTTTCTCTAAGCTCACTTCAACCTTCATCCCCTGCAAGAAACGTTACATTCCCTGAAGAAATCCTGTTTGTACAAAAGTCTCAACTATGCTATTGCACTATCATGCCTCCTGTTCGATTGCAATAATATCGTTCAGAAGCGTTTACGCACCTTCCTTCCACGCAGCATGGTGATTATTCTGTAATCTTGCTTCGTTAACCGCCATATCGTGAACGACTGCGAGAGAGATCAGCGAACTGGACGACTCGATGCTGGTGCTTTCTGCACCAGTTTCTGGATGAGTTCACTGAAATTCTGCGAAGGAAACAGCGACTGCGGCGATTTCAATCCGCCAGGAGGCACTCGAGAATGATCGCCCAGGAGTTGCTGGTACTCCGTGACAATTCTCCATCGCATTGTGGTGTTGATTGCAGCACCAGGCCTTCTCTGTGTTGCGCAAGAAGCAACAGGAGTTCTCTGACGACAAACTTTGGACGCGAAATGCGCGAGTCGACTAGGATTTTGAGGTGTACCAACTCATCGATGACGTCATAGCGATTTAACCCTAAAATTGGGGCGTTTAACCCTAATTATTTTCCGATTTACGGTAAATTTGTGCGATTTAACCTAAAATCGGAGCGGTTTACATATGCCGCCATCGATGACGAAATGCGATTCAGCCCTAAACTGGTGTGTTTAACCCTAAAAATCGGGTCATATTAACCCTAATAATCCCGGTAACCCTAACCCTATCACCATGGCGATAGCCCTAACCCTATCACCATGACCAAGAGTACATGAAAACCAGAGTGTGCAGCTCGGATGGGTTGCTGTCACGGCGAAATTCCGTGATTACATCATTTTAGTGATGTAGTGCGTACAAGCAGGATTCAAGCAGGTCTCTTTCTGCACAACTGCAGCTCAGTTGTACGCACTACGCCATTTCCCGCCTCAGATCTGCAGACTTCTGCACCAAATTTGATGTAATCACGGAATTTCACCGTGACAGACACCCATAGCAGAGTAGACCCCAAGCTGCACACTCTGGTTTTCATGTACTCTTGCCATGACGATAACCCTAACCCTAGGGCTATCACCATGGCGATAACCCTAATATTCCTGGTGACGATAACCCTAACCCTAGGGCTATCACCATGGCGATAACCCTAATACTGTAGAACGGGTAATTTTAGCGTTATCCCATTGCCGGCTGGTTTAGCGATTTGCAGCGATTTTACTCACGGATCACCAGTGCACTACTAATGTCTCAACGGATTAGCGACTTGAAACTTTAGCAAAAATGAGCCGATCGCCAAATTCGCTAGGGTTTTTACGTCTACAGTATTTCTGATGATGATAACCCCAAGTTAACCTAGCACCATGGCGATAACCCTAACCCTAGGGCTATCACCATGGCGATAACCCTAATATTTCTGATAACCCTAACCCTAACACCATGACCATAACCCTAATATTCCTGATAACCCTATCACCTAGGGAGGGCCCGAATATGCTT